TTTCGGAGAAAGTTAGTTTTATACATAGTTTGAAATGTTTTTTGGTTATAAAATAAAAATTCATAAAGTTGTTAGTGTTTAAAATAAGATCTTTTAATAACGTTTTCAGAGTATTTAAGTTATTCTATTTTTCCAGTTGAGAGTGTTTTTTTTTAAAAAAAACTATTCTAGCAGCATGATTTTGTTTCCGATATAGTGTGGTTAGTTTGTATTTATGAGTACTTGCCCATGCAACATTAGCGTACATGTAGTAGCTTTGTATGAACGAGAAGTATAGGAGCTTTAAATTATCAGAAGACAGTATAGAATTAGCTTTGTAAAGGATGCCAATGTTTTTTGATATTTTGGTATTTATATATCTATATGTGATTTCCATGAGATGTTCTCATCAATAAGTATTCCTAGAAATTTAGTTGCTTAAAAAATAAATGCTAAGGTGAGAGCTTTATAAATTTGTTAAAACTATTCAACTGGCGTTTGTATTATATATTTAAATAGGTTTTTGTCCAAGTAGAATAAAAAAGTCCTCTAGAAAAAAAAGTCCTCTAAAATTTTTTGGGGCCCCTTAATTTGCGGGGCCCGGGGCTATAGCCCCTTTTACCCCCCCCCCCTCCTTCTTTGATCCGGCACTGATTTCGCCACAGAATGATAAAATAGTCCCATAGTTTAAAAAAATATATAATGTACAATATTTTTGCTTTCAAAACATTATTTGATATTATTATTTATAATTATATAAACAATTTTATAAAATCATTAGATACCCAGTAAACACAGATTGGTTCAGAATTGGTCAATATTTAGTCGAAATCGGTCGAAAAATGAAAAAAAAGTTTAGTGACCTATTATTGACTAAAAATCGACGCTTAATTTGAAATGAATATTTCAAAGTTTTTTATATATATGTTTACTAAACGTCGATCTAACGTTTAGAATATTGACTTACATTAGTCAATGTTGTAAACCTTTAATTGACTTTAATTAAACTTAAATATTTATAGATTTAAAATCTACGCCCAGAAAATACACAAACGTCTATTAAATGTCAAAACAATGTTTTGACAAAACATTCAGATTTGATCGATTATCCGTTTAGAATGAAATCCAGATTAACGTTTAGAACAAACGTCCATAAAACGTCTATATTCAAAAGTATTTTAGATGTTCTATTATAGGATTATTATACGCATATAAAACGTTTAGATTTTGTCTAATTTACGTTTAAATCTAGTCTAATTAACGTATATAAAACGTTTAGATTTAGTTTAAGTAAACGTATATTAAACTTTTAGATCTTGTCTAATAGTTTCTTTGATTTAGTTGACATAATTTCAATTTATTTAAGTTTTAAAACTTACATAAATTAAAATTGCGTTATAACTTTTTAACTTTATATGAGTAATAAGAGCTATCTTGGTCTTGAAATTTGTAAATAAGATAAACGGTGAAACGGGGCAAAATGGCGAACGTTTTGAAAGCCCTGAGTTATTGCAAAACTATCAGTCGTGAAGCAATAATACTTTCTCAGTATGTTTATGTTATTAAAATGATTCATTGCCTGCATGAATTTTCAGTTTGCAAATATAACAATTTGAATTAAATATTAAAATAAAAGGTTCATAAACTTGTCATCTGGTCACGTGACCAGGGCAAGATGACTTATTATGCAACTTTTGCCTCCAATTTTATAAAATTTTAAAAACTACCAATTACTCTGAGTTAACACAAAATAAACACAAGTCGCAAAAAACTACTTCTTAAGAAGTTAAACTTGAAGGAAACCGAAACTGAGGAATTTTTTTTAAAGCGCAAAAAGTACACTTAGGGGTCGTCCATAAATTACGTGGTTTTGTGACGACTCATTCAAAACGCGCTTCTTAAGTGTTACGATTTTGTGACGAGGGGAGGGGGGTCGAAAACGGTCAAAAATTACGTGACGTAATTTATGGACGATCCCTTATGCCAATAAAAATGCGTTAATAATATTTAAAAAAACCAATTTGTGTTTTAAAATACACGATGCAAACACGGTTTCATTTTCACCCAACTTTAAGATTTTTTGTTGAGTTGTTATATGAAAACCCATCTTGCCCCATTCGCCATGTTGCCCCACTTTCCCCTAGTTATAAAAGTAATTAAATTTATAAATAAGATATAGTTATAAAAGATCTGGTCTTACTTTTTATAACTATTTCAATATGTTTATACCATACTACTTATGCTATACTTTTATATTATAAAACAATATATAAAGTTATAAACTTATATAAAACGTTTTCATATAGTGGGGATTAAGAGAAAAAATTTTCTTGCGCTATACTTGTTTATACTTCGATAATTTAAAAAAAATTAAAAGATCAAGCATTTTGCAGTGAAAAGTTTATAGTAACAATTTTTATCAAATATTTTTAAAATTTAGTCACATTAGCAGAAAATAAAAGTTTACATTAAAGATTACTTATAAAATTAATAAACTCATAAACATATATTTTGAACCAGTGTTTTCTCTGGTTTTTGCATTAACGAAAATTTTCCTAGTATACCGTCTACCGCTTGTTTATCATGCACCTGTTCTTGTGCAACATCATTTTCTACATTCGTATCCTGATCGTCTGATTTCGTAAACTGATTTGTAACCGCTAAAAACTTGGGCAAAAGAGTTAGCATTTTAAATGTACATTCATAAATTAAAATGAGAATTACACAGAACAACTTTACATAAAGAAAATTTTCTGAATAGAAGTTTTCCGAAATTTCCTGTAAATTTCCATGTTTATTTTTGACATTACCAAATTAGTAACGTCGCGATATAACTAATGCAGTGGTTTTTACCAGCTCTGTTCCACCAATTTTCTTTAACAAATGTAAACTAAATTAAGCCAAATGCATCTAAAATAAAATAAAAAAAATACTTAGTTATTAAACCTTTTAATTATAACAAAGATGAATACCTACTGTTACACAATAATACAAGCGTTTACAAAATGAGTTTAAACTGTTTATAAAACTTACGAAAAAAGTTCTTGCAGCACGACATTCATAACGAGAGACCAGCAACTAACAATTTTTTACTGTTTTAATGCGGCCATCAATAATTTCTAAAACATCGAAGTCCATTGATTTGTTGGCATTTAGGAAGGTAGATCGTCACGAATAGAGCTTTTTAACTTTCATGAATTAAAATGGCGCATCCGAAACTCGTTTACTATTTACTTATCAGTCGTTTTGCTTTCAGTTGTTGTAAGGAAGTGAATTTTAAAAACCCATTTAAGTCTGATTCAATTATTTAGCCAATGAAAAATAACTTTTCATTGGTTAAATAATTTAATTTATCAGATTTAATTTGGCAGATTGTGGTTTTCCATTGACAACAAAGTGGTTGCGGTATAATGTTAAAAAACTACATCGTTGTTGAATACTTTAAAAAGATTTGCCCATTACATGGCATAAATCTCACTTAGTTTACTCACATATATAAAAAATAGAACACCTCTGGATGTGTTTTTTAATCCAATTGACTCAAAGAAGAAGAAGTTCTCCATCCAACAAAAAAAAAGCAAATGGCTCATGAAAGAAAAGGAATATTCGCCTAATCAAATAAAAGTATATAGCTCAAAGAAGAGGAAATCCCATATTTCAATATCATTATTAAATCTAATGCTGATCAAATTAAAAGCTTATAACAGAAACAGCAAAAAAGAACTCACTGCTGTGTGTTCAGTGTGACATGAGTGGATTCATCAGAGGACTGGCTCTAATGCTTTTTTTGTCATAAATGGGCATTAGGGTGGGCCTTAAAACAACTTTTTTAATAAAAACCTGCTCCCACCCCCTAAATGTGTTCTATCTAATACAAAAATACTAGGTTTAAAATTTTTTTTGAATAAAAAATATTTTAAGGGGACCCTCAAGACCCTCGAATATTTAATGGGTCCCTAATATTTTCAAAAAAGAAGTTTTTCAAAAATATATCAACCTGGTACTCAAATGAAGCGAAGTAGTATAAAGTTTCAAAAATAATATTCATTTTGAAAAAAATTGTTGTTTTTAATTTTATTACTCAAAAAATTACGTTTTTTAACAAAAAATAAAAAAAATGCATTTTTATGTTTTTTTAAAATAATTTCAATAAACAAGTTAAAATATTTTCAAAATGAATATAATTTTTGAAATTTTTATATAATTTTGCTTCATTTGAGTACCAGGTTGACATAATTTTGAAAAACTTTTTTTTTGAAAATATTAGGGACCCATTAAATATTTAAGGGTCTTGAGGGTCCCCTTAAAAAATTTTTTATTCAAAAAAATTTTAAACCTAGTGTTTTTGTATTAGATAGAACACATTTAGGGGGTGGGAGCAGGTTTTTTCAAAAACGTTGTTTTAATGGCCACCCTGATAGGCATGTGAAACCTGCTTTTTCATCAAAATATGCACAGATACTTAATTCAACAAAATATAATAAAGCTCTAACTATTTTTACATTGGTGAAATCGCCCTATAAAAGGCGAAATTGCCCCTTATAACTGTGTAATACAAATTGGTGTTGATGAGTATAAATAATTTTTTTTTTTTTTGAATTTTTAAACGTGCTCGAACTAAATATAGTTTATTCAATATAATTCAGTTAATAATATACAAAAAAAGCGTACCAGGTTAAACAGACAACATTAAAGCATCAAAAGTGGCGAAATCGCCTTGGTCTACCCTACATAATTTAGAAGAATTTTCTTAATTAATTTACAGAATTTTGTTTAAACTATCATGCTTTAAAAATTTTGTAATTAATATATAGTTGTGAAAAGAAATTATTTTTAATTTTTATTTTGTAAAACTAGAATGTAATATTATTGTAAAACTTACAATAAAGCAAATAAATTATCAGAAAATTAATTAACTGTTTTTTTGTGCATTATTTTTTTATTAGTAGAATAATAATAAAAATAAATAAATAAAAAATATATAGCATTTTTAAAAACTTTGAAGATTAAAAAAACCAATGTTTAGAGAAAAAACTATTAGAATAATTAAGTAGATTTTTACATATTTCAAATTAAAAGTATAAATTATATTAGTCTAGTCAATTCTCTGATATGTCTTCGAAAATGTAAAAGATGCAATATTCACTAATTTTTTACTTTCTTCGCTAGTATCTTGAAGATTATTTATCTTGCTTAACCTGAATTCAATTTCCAATTCGCGAAATTCTTTTAAAAATGTAAGCATAAAAATTAGTTGAGTGGAAACGAGAAGCCATTCAAAGATCTGTCCAACACTTCCGCCTTTACGATTGTATTTGTTCAAGGAAGGTATCATAAAAACACTAAACACAATAGACGAAGCAGTCATTATTGCTGTAGATACAACTCGAACAACAAAAGTTATTTGACACTTTTTTTTTGAACTTTTGTAAGTGAAATAACATTGAGTTGCGCAAAACAACGCGGCACCACCAAAATGCATACCAGCGCCAATAAAATGCACAGACTTTACGTTTGAAATTTGGAAAGCTGCAACGATAAACTCCCCGAACACAAGCGTTAAACCGGAAACTAACGAAAATTGGTTTATCCAACTGCTTTGCGTTTTTGCTTCCAACAAAATATATTCTACTTGGTAATACCTTATTGTAATAATAACCAACGTTAATACTCCACTAAGTGACAATCCAAATGTAAAAATACTCGAGTGCGGCCTCGTATCTCCAGTGTCACTTACAAAGGGAACAAAAGAAGGATTAATTTTTTCTAATTTAAACCCAACTATATAAGAAATACATAAAGTAAAAACTGGAAGCAAAACTGAGGCAATTACAATTAAGTGTAAACTTTTAAAGGTTTTTTTTCCATCATTTTCTTCAACCATTTTAAAATATTAATTTAAATTTTACCGTTCTTTTTACTTTTAAATGCTTCATATAATTTAGGCTTCAGTGCCAGTTATATAACATTAGATTTTAATCTTTTCATATATTCTAATCGGAAAATCTTATCTAAGTAAACAAATATATACAATATATGTGTATATACATTGTATATTAACCACACATAATAAAAATAAATAAAATTAATTGAAATATGCTATATATAATAATATATATTATATATTTCATGTTGCTTTACTTTTTTTTTAAAAAACAAACAAAATAATTTGATCGTATTAAAACGGATAACGAGGATAGAAAATGTCAACTAAAAATAATTATTATAGGTTCACAATTTCTATCCTTTTACCAATAATTTGATTTTGGTTTTCTTTTTGAATGTCTTTTTTAAATAAATTATTGCTAACCTGGGGAAGATAGTTATTTCAACTACTCTAAATAATTTAATTTTTAAATTTTTCATTCTTACCCGGTTATTTTTCATTCTTACCAGTTGTTTTGAGTCTCAAGGTTATAATAGGTAAATAAATTTTTTTTTTGCCTTAAGTAATATTTTTTACAAAAATGAAAATAAATATGCCCTTAGATAATTAGGATACGCAACTATACGTGGACACGTCTGCAAAGAAAAAATTGTGTGTAAATTTTACTTATTGCATATGTTTGTAAGTTGTATTATTAGGCATAAAAACCGTTAAACAAGCAATTTTTATAAAAACAGGAAACAATAACTTAACCTAGTTAGTTTTTTGTTTTTTTTATTAAAACGTTGGAAGTTTGTTTGATTTTACCCGTTTTCGTCATAACGTAATGTTTTAAAAAACTTATTGGCTTTAAATTAAAAGAACGCGATTCTTAAATTAGAAGTCAAAACATCTTATATGATTTCTTTATAACTTTTCTAGTTTTAAAAGCCTTATAGAAACTTTGAACAAAAAAAAATTTGATGTTTTATTAATTACACTTATAGGCACTGTAAAAACTCCAATTTTACGTAGATTTATGTTTAATAAGAATGTTTTGCCAATAATGATCGTGATTGGAGTCTGAAAACAAAAATACCGGTGACATTAATGCTGAAACTTCTTGGGGTATTTCTTTTATTTCGCAGAAGACACAAATCAATTTTATGCACATAATGGTATAAGTATTCTGTTTAAGTCAGTAAACAAAGAGCTATTAAAACTTACTGAATGGTTTTATGCAAACAAATGTAACCAAAACAAAGTATACTTTTTTCCATTGTTTTCATGACCGAGATAAAATTCCTTTCAAACTTCCAAAACTTTGTATTGTCAATCAGGACATAAAAAGAGAAACCACTTTTAAATTTGTCATCGTGCTTCTTGATGAAAATGTGATGTGGAGAGATCACATACAATATCTGAAGGAACATATGCCTGCTTTGTAGAGCAAAGCCTTTTTTAAATCCAACTTGCTTAAAACTTTTGTATTTCTCGTTTGTTCATTGACATCTTAATTACGCAAACATTGCTTGGTGCAGTACAAATAAATATAAAAACAAAAAAACTATTTAATAAACAAAAGGATGCAATCAGAATCATTTTATATTGTGGTCCGTTATACACACTCAAAAAGATTATTTGTTAATTCAAATATAATGAATGTTTATCAATTAAATGTATATTAAATTCTAATATTTATATTCAAAATTAATAAAAATATGTATTCTAAGATATTTTACCCACTATTCAAAATATATCAGAACAGATTTTCAAATAACAGTTATATTCAACCCAAAAGTTATTTTGCGATGACTGAATTTTCAATTTCTACTAAAGCGCCAAAATTAAAGAAAAAAATATAAACTAATGAACTTAAAACAACTGCCCCGCTTAATGAGTTTAAGAACAGACTTAAGCAAAATCTATTGATGAATGACGTAGCGTTCAGTTTTTTCTGAAGTTTTAATGATTGCTACTGTTAAAATTACCCAACAATTAGAGATGTGTCATTATCGGCTTGACGATCTTATAAAAGGATTGTGCCACTTTTTATTGCTTCAATTCTTTTTTTATAAAAAATTGATGATTTATGAGAATTATTTAGATATTTCAAGGTATATGCTTGTGTAAAAGGAAAGCTTCAGGATTATGCGTATTTGCTTTTCTGTAATATAGTTTTTTTTGTACAAATTACTTTTTTTTTCTTTTTTTTTTAATTTTTCTTAACGAAAACAAAATCAAAAAGTTAAAGTAAGACATTAGGACCTATGATTTTTATTTTATAAAGTCTTTAGAAAAACGTTTTAAATTATGTAGTGTTACGTCTTTAATTTTTTTTATTTTATGTTAACGATATAAACTAAGGGGCTTGGTGATAAGACAAATTACATCTTCTTCTTGTCCATACTATTCGTATTTATATTATTTTTTACAACTAAATAAATTTGTAAGGCAAAAAAAAAAAAATCACCGCATTTTTTGTAAAGCAATTTTTTTTTGACATAAGCATATACATTTCTAAATTTGGTGTTTTAACAGTGCCTCAAAGCATCATATCTGAAGCATTAAAAAATCCTGCTTCTACCGCGGTTTATGCCATAAATTTTAAATTTTTTTTATGTAACGATTTAAAAGCTAAAAATATTGTTACTGTATGGACCTTAAACTGAAGTATTTAATAACGTTGATTGGGAATTTGGTTATGAGTAAAATATAGAAAAAAGTTTTTTTGTAAAACGTCTTTATGATCATTATGATCAATTGCTTTTATATATTTTAATTCAAGTCCAATCACAATATATATATATATATATATAAACAATCCAATTCAAAATAAATTTTTAAAAAAAAGCGTAACTTGGAAACATATATTATGACATTTAAATAGCATATATTAAAATACAATACAATTTATGAGATTATGATTGTTCAAATATCATGATTGCACTTACGTTGCATCACATTAAATATCATGATTGCATTTACGTTGAATTACAGCAAAAACAATCAAGCATAACAATCAGATTTGTCGGATCATTTTCCTACTTTCTTAGCAACCAGTAACATTTTATTTAATGATGTTGCCACAAAATCTACAATATTTAGGTGACAGATCAATCAAAACCTCTTAAAACAATTTAAAAACTGTTTAAAAAATTGTTTTTATTGGAATCAGTAATTCGATCGAGTAAGGCTAACAAAGCATATGACTTGTTTCTTGGTCAATTTTGCAAGCAATATGAAATGGCAATTCCAGAAAAAAAAAATCATAAAAACCAAGTCACTTTAAACTCCCTCCCTGGATGACAAAAGGCTAACTAAAATCTTCAAAAAAGGAAAAAAAAACTTTATATAAATTGTTTTAATAAGTTCTTATAAAAGTTAAATAACCTAGGAATTTAATAAAAATATATTTAAAAAAAAACCAAAATAGCTTTATTATGCCTAGTTATTAAAAAAAACCCAACTGAAACACTAAAAAAAATATTAAATATAATTCAAGATTAAATTGGAAAATATAATTATAAAAAAAATACCCTGTCAAAAATATTTTTGTTAATGGAAAACTAGTTTATGATAAATCTATTATAGTTGAAGAACTAAACAACTACTTTGTTTATATTGGTCCGAATTTGGCTACTCAAATTCATCCTGATTCCACTTCATCTGTTTTCGCCTAAAAACTTATGTTAAACTTATAGACAAAAATAATTTAAAGCTGAGTAAATTGAGATTTGCATTAAGCTGTTTCAAAGGCAAAAAGCAAAAAGGTGAAGTTTTTAATAAGACTAGTGTTGATAATGTCAAGTCAGTAATTGATGTCATTAAACCTTCTTTATTTCGCGTTTTCGATTTTACAATTAAATCAGCCATTTTTCCAGATAAAAGTTGTCCATATAACAACAATTTTTAAATCTAGAGATAAGTCAAATATTTTAAAATACAGGCTTACATCTGCGCTGCCATTTATTCAAAATTGCCAAAGAATAGCATTTAAGTCATTAAAAAAATGACATCAATAAGAATTGTTACGCTTTTGATTTTCTTAAATAGTGGTCTCTAACTATTTAAAGTAATTTTTACCCCGATATCCATGTTCAGTAGTAGCGGAGATTATTTAACCTCCTGAAATGTTTGCATAACTAATTTCAAGCAACTCCCTTATTTTTCTTTTATAATAATTGTCATTTATAAATAAGGTGCAGCCAGTCGAATATCCCTTGGCATTTTGAGTAATGTTTAGTCGCTCTAGAGGCATATCAATTGCCATTCATGCTATTAGTTTGATGTTCTATACTTTTTTACAAAATTCTTTTTTTTCAAAGTGTTGGTAGCCAAGGTAGTTTTATTATAGCAACATTATTTTTTAGTTTTTTTGCAACTTTATTGTTTGGATAATTTTTACTTGAAAGATAATTCGTCGCAATTTTTTCTAGATCTGATCTTTTATAACCGTTTTCAAAAAACATATCTATTATAAACTGAATCTCGTTGTTAATGTATTTATTGGATCAGATTTTGGTGGTTCGTAATATGAAACCTTTAAAATGACGCAATAATATATATATATATATATATATATATATATATATATATATATATATATATATATATATATATATATATATATATATATATATATATATATATATATATATATATATATATATATATATATATATATATATATATATATATATATATATATATACATATAATCAATGATTTTCCTAAGGGAATTGACTTTGTAACTATTATTGCAATTGCGGTGCTTAAATTAATTAAAAAATGAATTAAATATTCATTTCAAAATTAAAAAAATAATAGTTTAACACAAAAACACACTTGATCAACCAGTTTACTGAAGCGATGTTAGTCTTCTTTTGAGGTTGGTATTTTAGTTTGTATAAAATTTATTATCTTTTTTTAATCTAAAACTTTTAGTTAACTTCCGCGCTCGAAATAATTATTTAAAGGTGATCATTGATCATAATAATCGGCTGAAATGATAAGATTTGAAAGGTAGAGGATTAAATAAATTTCCGG